TGGGGCGCTGGGGTGAGGAGGGGCGCTGGGGCGCTGGGGCGGGGAGGGGCACTGGGGCGCTGGGGCGCTGGGGCGGGAAGGGGCGCTGGGGCGCTGTGGTGTGTGGTGTGTGTGTGTCAGGTGGAGCTGGGCGTCGAGACTCGTTAAGAGGGGTAACACACTAACCCCTGTGTCTCCGCAGGGGCAGCTGCGGGGGCTGCAGCCAGGCCACTGAAACAGGGTGAGTAGAGTCCCACCCCTCGCCGAGCTCCGCACAGCGAAGCACAATCCTCGCGTGACTTGTCGCGTGTGTTTCAGGTTACGGCGTCCAGCCAGGCTATGGAGCAGGTACGACCATCTCTTCGTCATCATCAAATCTTCATCATCATCACTACTGTGACCTTCTTCATCACTGCTATTTCTGTTGCAGGAGCGGCACTCGGGCTACCTCAGGCCAGGAAACAGAAAGCAGGTGAGAGACACAGCAGCACCCTGTGTGTGTGTGTGTGTGTGTGTGTGTGTGTGTGTGTGTGTGTGTGCAACTGGCTCTCCGGTGCTCTGCTGTCCTCACTGTGTGTCTCTGTCTCTGTGTCTGTCTGCTGTCCTCACTGTGTGTCTCTGTGTCTGTCTGCTGTCCTCACTGTGTCTCTGTTTCTGCAGGTTATGGCGGCAATGGATATGCTTATGGGGCTCAGCCACTCGGAGGTCAGTGTTTGACAGTGTGTGTCGGTGTGTGTGACAGTCCACAGCTCTTTAAACTTACTACACCTGTCTTTTGTTGCTAGGATACGGACCTGGGGCAGGAGCCTATCTGGGGGCGGGGCTTGGGGCAGGTAAGAGCCAATAGGCTGTCTGTCTGCTTTTGTCCATGTCCCTGATTCGCTGTGTCATCTGGGTCTTCACCAGCACAACCCGCCCCTCTCACACCTCTTTCCCCCTCAGGGCCTGGAGTCTCTGCTGGACTGGCAGGTCAGTCTGCGTGTGCGTGTCTGTGCAGGTGTCTACATGTGTGCGCGTGACTGTGCAGGTGTCTACATGTGTGCGCGTGTCTGTGCAGGTGTCTACATGTGTGCGCGTGTCTGTGCAGGTGTCTACACGTGTGCGCGTGTCTGTGCAGGTGTCTACACGTGTGCGCGTGTCTGTGCAGGTGTCTACATGTGTGCGCGTGTCTGTGCAGGTGTGTGCGTGCGTGTTACAATAGGGGCTCCAGTCCCAGTACAGAAGACCAGTCTGTTACAATAGGAGCTACAGTCCCAGTGCAGTAGACCAGTCTGTTACAATAGGGGCTCCAGTCCCAGTACAGTAGAACAGTCTGTTACAATAGGAGCTACAGTCCCAGTACAGTAGACCAGTCTGTTACAATAGGGGCTACAGTCCCAGTACAGTAGACCAGTCTGTTACAATAGGAGCTACAGTCCCAGTACAGTAGACCAGTCTGTTACAATAGGAGCTACAGTCCCAGTACAGTAGACCAGTCCTGTTACAATAGGAGCTACAGACCCAGTACAGTAGACCAGTCTGTTACAATAGGGGCTGTAGGACAGTGCAGTAGGACAGTCCGACTGCAGGACAGGGTCTCAGTGTTGTCTGTGTGTTGACTCAGGGTTTGGGAATGGAGCAGCTGGGTTCGCTGGGCTGGGCGATGGAGGTAAGACTGAGCACAGAGATTCGGACACACTGATATTGTACTTGTAAGATATACCCTAATTATACAGTACCTGTCTCCTCTCTCTCTCTCCTCTCCCCC